TCCTGAAACACCACGTCCACCCATGTTTTTTGACACCTCTAGGGATGGTGCCTCCACCACCTCCCTGGGCAGCCTGCCTCCCCACTCTTTCTGTGAAGAAATTTTCCCAATATCCAACCTGACTGACCCCTGCTGCAACTTGACCCTGTTTCCTCTTGTCCTATAGCTGGTCACTAGGCAGAAGAGGCCAACACCTGCCTCACCACAACCTCCTTTCAGGTAGTTGTAGAGAGCAATGAGGTCTCCCTTCAGCTTCCTCTTCTCCAGGCCAAACTGTCCCAGCTCCCTCAGCCTCTCCTCATAAGACTTGTTCTCCAGACCCCTAATCAGCCTTGTTGCCTTTCTCTGCACCCTCTCCAGCACCTCAATGTCCTTCCTACACTGCAGTGCCCAAACCTGCACACAGGGCTCGAGGTGCAGCCTCACCAAGGCTGAGTAGAGGGGTAGGATCACCTCCCTGGTCTTGCTGGTCACACTGTTCCTCACCCAGGCCAGGATGGTGTTGGCCTTGTTGGCCACCTGGGCACACTGCTGGCTCATGTTCAGTTGGCTGTCAACCAGCACCCCCAGGTCCCTCTCTGCTGGGCAGCTCTCCAGCCACTCCAGTTCAAATATGGTAATGGCAAATATGTTATGAAGACTGTAAACAGGTTAAAATCCCCACAACATACCCTTCCATTGGGCAACTATTATGTATGGTGGGATAATGAAATTAGTTATTTTAAAAGCCACAAAATCTATATGATAAATTTTTCCCTTTAGTAGCTCATTGTTAGTAAAAGAATACAAGCAATATTTACTATAGATGTCAAAAATTTTGCCAGTTAATTCCAGCTGATGTCAATACTTTATCTTGCTGATTGAGATTGTCGTTTAAGAGAAACCTCCTTCATTTCACCCAGTTGCCATGGGATGTTTAATATATACAACCACTTCCAACCAAAGAAAGCTGCAAATCACTGAATTTCTCTGAAGTTCTTGAGTGAATGCAGAAGTGTATGATGGTAACTACTACTAACATAGCCACGTAAAAGGGAAAAGATACAAAAAGTAAACATTTATGGTGAAACTGTTCTACACCACTTTAATACAGATGCTAGTAATAAACAATAAATTAGAAAAATGAAATTATAAGAGGAACTGCCCTACATGAAATAAATTCCTTCAATATAAAGAAGAGTCCCCTGAAAAGAAGAATTCATTGCTGCAGATAATGTGACCTTCAAATAATGAATTAATTTAGTACTCTCTCCAGCTAACCAAAATAGCCATGGGTTTTATGAGACACTGAACCTACTGAAACTCACTGGATGTTATTTTAGGAGAAGAGCACTCCCAAGCATTACACAATAACTTGGAAGTTCTGTATCATGAACTCTGTTCAAAGTAGCAACATACAAAATCTCACAATATCTGTGAACTTGCACATTATTGGAGAAGTCCCAGGCAGATCCCTCTAGCCAGGAAAACACACTTTTATGCATTTCTTCTAATCTACCTGCTACCAGACACAGGATTCAAAACATGAGGAATTAATGATTTGCATTCCTTTTGTATAATGAAGTACAGAGATCAAACATCTATCAAGCACTACCACTGATACCACTGAAAGCAAGTCAGAAGGAAGAAGATCAGGTAACTTCAGTTAATCTTACCAGTTCATCTATGTCTCAGAAACATTATAAATATTAATATATATAAATATTAATGAATTATTGCATATGAGAAAGACAGACATAGAAAAATCATCCTAGAAGAGATGTTAGTATTTCAAAATCTCTTCTTCCCAGTCTTGCCATCTACAGTCTTCAACATCAAAGACACTGGTGCAATTATCTTCCTGGACAGTTCTGGAAAATCAGACTTCTTTGCTTTTAAGAAGGGATACCTTGATAAGGAGTTTCTCTCTTTGCAGTTTTGTAAATGCACATAAATTGAAACATGAATTTATGAGTACTAACATGGCAGTTTATGTTTACTATGAATATTTCAAAGGCCTGATAATATTCCTACGTGTTCAACTGGAAGTGCACAAAAATGTATTGGAAGTACTGCTGTATACTAATGGTTCACTTTGAGTAATTAATCTAAACCTACAGAGGAGAGCAGTGGTTTGGGGCATTCCTTAATGCACACATTTGGCAAGAAATGCCATATCTTAACAGAACAGATATACTTGGGATCTTTGCAAATGAATGAGTGCATCATTTACATTAAAAAGACAGTTCAATCCATCACATGGTGAGCAAAAGCAGATCTGAACGAAAAGGTTACAAAGACTCTGGCATATTCCAGGACCAAGTGTGGTCTTTTAACTGGTGGCATCATTAGCAACCACCTATGAAAGACCTGAAGAACTGCTGGGGGAAAAAATGAAACTTGTGTCAACAGTTACAAAAAAGACCACTGTATGTCTCCAGAGTACATACCGTTATTTTTACAGCACCAAGTCTTAACATTAATATTGCCCATTTTTGGTGCTGAAGCTCTCTCTAAAGAGGGTATAACCTCATCACTCTATGCCAATTTCTCCTGCTGTCATGCAGGCAATATAATTCTAGAATCTTCAAGCAATCAGACAGGAGACTCCAGTTAAAAAGCTTATTGTTTTTGTTCATTGCATGCCATTTCCCAGTTGAAGCTAACAATACAAACCACAGAAGAGACGACCCTGAGCCACTTACCACCTCACCACTTCAGGATTACCTTTAGCACCAGAAACATATATGCCCATATAAATGCCTACAGCCCAAAAATAAAAGCTATGTTTTAAAGGGTACATCTTGTGGAATTACCTTATTCAAACAGGTATATGTGATCTAAAGTAATGTAGTGGACAAAAAGCTTTGTTTTTCCTAGGTAGTAACTGAAAGTTATTTTGAACATCCACATTACCTATTTTGTGGCAAACACAACATTTAGAATGAGACTATACCACTGACATATTACCAGAATGTCTAATAATAACCTACTCAAATTAAATACATGTCAGACATTTATCAAGCACTGTACCATATATAAGGTAAGAACAGCAAATGGAACAGAACATAGTACTGTGCCCACATCTTGAATTTTGTGCCATTTCTTACCTTAAATAAGGCAACAGTAGAAATAAAGACAGGTACAAAAATAAAAAATGGTGTTGGTTGGAGATACTGAATTGCTGGATACTGGGAGCAAATAAATAGATTAAGTTTTTGTGGCTTGGAAGATGCAACTCGGGGGTAATGTGGAAGAGAAGATAAAGCCAGGAATAGAGAATGACTGCTCAACATTTCTCCTGACATAAGGCCTAGGATGAACCAAAATGAGTTACCAGGCAACAGATTTAAAAGAAATAAAATCACACTTTAACTTCTAGAGCCAATATGGCTTTGTATGTTGAAAATGTAGTGGACAATCCCTTAGGCACATTCAGGGAGGAAGGTCCAACTGTGACTCTTAAGTACCAGAACACAGGTACAACTTCCAGCAAAGAAGGTTCTGCAGGCAAATTGCAGGAAACTGGCCACACACTGTGAACATACCCTGGTTTTGCACTCTTCCCCTAGTGATGATACTTGGTCCCAGTTTGATCCTGCACAGCATCTGCTTTGCTGCTGTCCTGTGAGCAGAATGGCTTCTCCCTGCCTGATGGGAGGAATATCACTGCCATCCACAAATGCCTGAAAACAAGTGCAGTACAAGCCTCTTCTCTTCCAAATCCACCCAGTCAACTCACAAACTCTTCCCAGCCATGGGGAAAACCTCCTCATTTTGCTGCCTAATACTAGAAATAGATGGGGCTGGAAAGGACAGAAATGAGGCCCGATTTGCAGGTACAGTGTGAGAGAACTTTTACAAAGCATTTAAACAACCATTATTCTGAAGGGCTAGCACCAAAAATATAGGAGATTGTGATGGAACATCTTTCAACACAAGTTTCCATGCAAGAAACATCTAAATTATTTGATTATGAGCCAAACTGAGTAACATACATATAGGAACTGCAGAGATAGGAGAAAAGGAACAGGGAAGATGAAAAACATGCATCTGTTCTTTTACAGTAATATTAAAACTATTAAAATTTAAGTTAGAAAAAGCAAGTATTAGCTAGATGTGGTTGGGAATACTGTTCTCTGGTAATGTAATTGGAGATGGCAAAGGAACACATCTGAGTTTTAGAAATTAAGTTTCATTTTGATGTGAAACAAAACCAAGAGGTTTTTAAAATTCTGAGGAGCACAAGCATGTGCTCATGATGGAGGAGACAAGGCTGCCAAGAGTGCAGAATATGTAGTAATTACAAGTATCACCTGGGAAATGGGAACATTTCAGCATTCTAAAACAAATACCACATTTCCACATTCTAGTGTAATAACGACATGCTAATGCTTCCCTCTCTTTATTGTATGAAAAATCCAATGCAACTCATCAAAATCAGTCCATATATTTCTGCAAAAAAATTCTGTTTGCAAGTGACATGACAATAACTAATTAGCAACTGGCAATTAAAATGTGAAGCTATCATAGTTCATCTGAAGGAAGACAAACAGTAAGTCATAAAAGACAAATTATTTTCCAGCAATTGTACGAGTCTTTCATAGTAAATCTAATAATACTGGGAAAACAATCTGTGCTTTTTACTGCAGTGTCTTCCTTGTCAAGGATCACTTGAAGAACTACACAGTTCCAAGAGCAGCTTTGTTTTAAAATGTTACTGACAAGGTAGCCTAAACAAAACAATCAAACAAAAACAACAATAAAATATTCCTTCTGATAATTAAACTAAAGTCAAAATTAATCAAAATATTATAGGAAAAACTAAACTTTGTTCACAAGCACACAGATGTAACTAGAAGCAATCCCAGAATATGGCCACCATCACCAAGGCAGCAGTATTTCCCATTATTTTTGGTGAAGTTGTATTGGTAACTTGCAGTTCTCTAAATCAAGCCTGAAATCATAAAGCAGTTAAAAAAGTTAAATAGCCAACCCCCCCCCCAGCTTCTGAATCATACCTTAATTTGTGCAAAAGGTCTGTCAAAGTTTCCAACATAAAGAAGACCAACATTCTGGGTGAGTAGCCTAAAAAAATGAAAAAAATCTTTTAAGATATCATTTTATAACCAGAAGGGTTTTTTTTACATCTCCAGTAGTTGTCAGGGAATCCTAGCAGGGTAGCAAGCTTCATTATGATAGCAAGAGATACTTCTGCAAAGCTGATTAGGCAATTCTGTTTGAACTAGGACCAAAAAGGAAAGAGGTGCATTAAAGATGGATCCACACCAGTAATTTGTGTTTACAGTGCAAGCAGCTCTTCAACAAAACCATTCCACAGGCTTCTTCGTGATGGGTGTCACTCAATAATATGGAGGAATGGCAGGTATGTGTCTTTTCTATTTATTGGAGACCATTAGAAACAAAGAGACAGCAAGAGAGAAGACTAAACACACATTCAGAGCAGCAGCCCTGAGAGTTAAAGCAGATTAAGGCAACTAAATTACACATTAATTCAAAATACACAGTAATACAAAAATTACATCACTGCAAGTAGAGAAAGAATAGAGAATCTCTGCCATAAAAGGGCCTCAGATGCAGTTTCTGCCTGCTGTTTTCTTCAGCTCTTTATAGAAGGTTGTTGCATACCCCACCAGCACACAGGGAGAGTGGGATAAGTTGGCTGAAATGACGGATGGCACTTGTGGAAAAGAGTTATTTTGATTCCTGTGGATACTGTGCAAGTCAATGTTATTACTACATAAACTCCAAATCCTGGAGGAGCATTAGGGTGCTGCTGTTACGAAGAGGCCGAGGAGAACATCAATGGTCAGCAAAAAAGGGTAGAAGAGCACTCTGCTGTCCAAACTGGACAATCCTGCTGAGCAAGGGCACAGCAGTCATTCCCTCCAGTTTAGAGGCTTCAAAAGTGTCACACTGCAGTACAGGCACCCCATAATAAAGATCACTTGAAGGAGCTTCTGTTTTGAATAAAAGGGACATTCAAAACCCATCTTACTCTTCACTAGCTCCAAATTTTTATGACCTATTTGCTATTTTATATTTTCCTTCAATTTTACAATCCATTCCCTTTTGCTATAAGTCCTCACATATGAATTAAATTAAATAACAATAAATAAGTATGAATGTAGGCATCATTCTGCTTAAGCCTGACACTGAGGTGTCTCTTCTGTTTTTAAGCCTATGTGTATTTTTTTTAATTCATACTGATTTACATTTTGTTTTCTATACATAAACCAGCTGTCATTTTTAACAAATTTCTCACCATTGCCAGGTCTGTTTCAATAAACAGAAGAACACAGAAACTTAAATGGCAGTAACTCATTTTGGCCTCACAGAATGTACACATCTTAGTAGGATTTTGATTATTCCCAGTTCTGACACCAATATGATATTAAACTGGTTCACCACCAGCAGGAATCAGTGGAAAACAGCAATAAAATAAAGCCAAAACATTCACACATATAAAACAGGTAAGTAACAAGTCATGTAGAACCGTGTATCATCTTCCAAAATACCTTTCCCTAATTTTATATGGTATACAAAATTTCCCAGACCCTGTCAGAAATATCCAAAGGAAGGAAATACCAGTAAGGATCAGAGCATATCAGTCAGTCCAGACAGGCAAGTGGCTTTCTCCCTTTGCCCATCCTTTGCTCTCTCAGGAAGACTTACACTGTTTCCCAGTGGTTCTGCAGGATATGGAAGTTAGGATAAGCATATCAAACTCATTTTCAGTCCCAGTTAGTCAAATTTACTCAGAACTCAGGTGTCTGGAGCTGGAAAAGCCAGCATATTGATCAAATATTCTCCTAGGGCTATAGAGCAAACTCTGAAAATATTTAAAGCTTTGCTAAATGAAAAGAAACTTATGGGAAGCAATTAGTGAAAAAGGTTAAAAGAGAATCTGTAAAAAAGATTCAGTTTATCTCATCATATCTGAGAGAAGGGTACCAGAAAGCAAAAAAGTTCTCTTAAAAAGAACTACACATAATTTTTGCAAGGCAGAAAAGAAGAAAAAAAAGTTCACTGGCTGTATTTCTAGCAAGGGACTTAACCAGAAGACATATAGCGTGGTTATTCCCACATGGTTACTCTTCTTGTTTTCCTTAGTGGACAGAAATGTACAACCATGAAAAATCTGAGTCGTCAGGATGGCTTTAGTTAGAAGTAATGAACAGAATTTAAGATGGATCTTTCCAGAAGCCTGTAGAGCAGTTTACACTGCTTAAGTAGCACCCAAAGTCTGCAAATGGACTGCAAGAACTGCCTTCCTTAACAAGACTGATACTGACACAGAAGTACAAGCTTATTACTGTTGATTCACTTTTCACTGCTTTGGCTGAGAAGTGTTTCACTCACTTCTTATTTGCATTCACAACTTAAACTTAAAAAGGCAATGTTAATTCAATGAAATTTTAGGAAAATTTTTAGAGAATGGAAAATAATCCCCCTTGCTTAAATAAAAGGTCCCATTCTTTATTTCTTTAGGTTTCAAGATTCATCTCAAGTTCTAAAATTCAAAATTGTAACACCAAACCTCAAAGCCAGTCAGTTTGCCATATAAGCACTCAACAAGGTTGAAATGAGAATCCCAATATGATCATCATTTAATGTCCTGAAATACTTACTTTTTCTCCCTCTAAATGGTCTAAGCAACTGAAAAAAAAGCCAAATCTCATGACTTGTATCAATTCTTTTGCTTCAGGGTTCTTATTGAGCTCTCTCTGTGAGAAGCCCTGTGGGAAGGACTTAGGGGTGCTTGTGGATGAAAAGTTGGACATGAGCCACCCCATATGAGCACAGGCTGAGAGCTGAGGTTGTTCTCCCAGAAGAGAAGGCTTCAGGGAGACCTTACAGCAGCCTTCCACTACCTGAAGGGGGCCTACAGTAAAGCTGGGGAGGGGCTTTTCACAAGGACAGGTAGTGATAGCACAAGGGGTAACTGTTTCAAACTGAAAGAGGGGATATTTAAATTAGATATTAAGAAGAAATTCTTTAGTGTGAGGGTGGTAAGACACTGGAGCAGGTTGCTCAGAGGAGATGCCACCTCCCTGGAGGTGTTCAAGGCCAGGTTGGATGGGGCTTTGAGCAACCTGGTCTAGTGGGAGGTGTCCCTGCCCATGCAGGGGAGTTGGAACTAGATGATCTTTAAGGTCCCTTTGAAACAAAAACATTCTATGATAGCAGTGCAATCTCCACATTTCAGACACTTAGCTCACACAGAAGAGTCTGAAGAGGTAAGCATATCGTGACAAGAGTCACTGTTGAGGTTCTGGATAGGCCAAGCCATGGCAAGAGTGTTATCACTCCCTTAGTCGTCACTAGTGGCAGTATCAAAAAAATGATGTGTTATCAAGGAGATAGGTACAATAGAGGTGTACATGCCAATCTTCATCTCACCCACAGGAACTCAGCATGACCGATCACTAAATTACCATTAAAATGTACTCCTCGTCTATCAGAAAGCTCAGATCATACAGTCATTGTTACAATCCCTTACCATACCACCAGACTGTGTTTTTCAAATACCTAAAATTAACTTTATACCATTTACTTCAGCACACCTAAATTGATACAGATACTCTCTCCTAGTGCTCTCAACTAATTACCCTTTGCCTTTGAAGACCTTCCACTGGTAGACAGGCTGGTTATAAGCACTTCTGTGTTTCCTTATGCTAATGCTCTCTTTTAAAATGTCAGTCTTCTATTTCTTACCTAATTTCACATTTGCACAGTTCTATTCTCAAAGCCCCATCAGCAGCACTCAACACCTAACTCTGCTAACAGCTGGACATCACCTGTAACTGGCCAAAATCAAGACCAGCTTATGAAACTGTGGTGACAGTTTCACAGTCCACTTACCATCTTTAAATTCTACATACAAATAATATACCTTAAAATTATGAGATGCAATTGTCAAAAATGCAAATGCTTACTGGCACTTCAGTACTAATACTTTACTGGAAAATAGGTACCAATAAACAAAATTGCCTCAACTGATCATACAGCTTACAGACTGACATGTATTTTATTTGTAGTCTCTTCATTCAATCCATGACCAAAGATTCCCTTTTTTTTTTTCTTCTGGAAATAGAAGGAAAGAAACATCACTCCAAAACCAGTGGTCTCTTAAGACATTCTGTCCATCAGTAACAGCACACTCCTCTTCTCCTGCCCTGTACACCCAAGGCAGCAGAATTCTAGCCCAACCTACTTGGGCTGTATTGTCCCATTACATGAAAACAGCATAAAAAGCTAAAAAGTATCAGGATAAACCATTTATGACTTTTGTCAAGACAATGTAAAGGTCTTAAAAGGCCTTCCCATTACCAAGAAAATTCTGCCATATAAGTACCTCCAAATTCCCTATTTTCCACCTTCAAAATCCTAGATTTGGTCTTTTCTAGGATCTAGAACATACCCAATGTTTTAAAAATGCAAGTTGCAGCAGCCAGGCACTGCTGCTTGTATGACTGGGCATGGACAGGCACAACGACCAAAAAAATGTTGTGGCAACAGTGATGTGAAGGGGCTAAATGCAAATAAATACTGGACAGGATTAAAGGCTTGGGTGAAAGAAAACTTGGAATAAGACAAAGTAATACAGCAAGGGATGTGGAGCACAAGTGGGATGACAGGTATAAAAGAGTGGCAAAGCAGCCCCCTAAACTGGAGCAGACTAGTGGATTAGGGCTACAGGAGAAGCAAGGACTGATTTAACACAGAGATCACCCTCCTTGGGCACAGCTGACCTTGCTGTCAGGGCTGGGACAGTCCCAGCACCATTGCTCCCTTCCTAGTGCCTTTGACCATGGGAAGTGGAGCAAACCTTGGCTACAGACTTGATGAGGGCAGCACATTTTGAAGAAGCTTGATCACTTTCTCTTCTCCACATGTGGTCTGTTCCCAGTAACTCACTAAGATCTGTTTGTTAAGATGAAGGTGTATATTTCACAATATCCATGACTGACACACCAATGCTCCAACTGCTAAGTAGTACTTTGTGAAGGCAGAAAGTGTCAAATAGTTCCTCCATGTCTTGTTGGGAGGTACAACTTCATTAC